TGTATGTATGTATGTATGTATGTATGCATGTATGTATGTGCATGCATGCATGCATGCATGTATGTATGTATATGTATGTATGTATATGTATATGTATGTATATATATATATATATATATATATATATATATATATATATATATATATATATATATATATATATATATATATATATATATATATATATATATATATATATATATATATATATATATATATATATATATATATATATCAGAAATTTTTCAGAGTAATTTCAAATGCCGCGCCATTGGCGATACTGAGCTTTCAAGGTCGTCTGAGGGAAGAGAGCGCTCCCCTCACATAGTGGGAGGTTGTGGAACTAGGCCTATATGATATTAAATATAATTTGCCGAATTAATAATGATGCGATTCATGAAGTTAAGGGACTATTATTGAATTTGGAATTATTATAGATCGTTTATCAGTCTGAATAATGTTACGGGTATCCCAAGGAGTTATTAGTTAGGCGGAAAATATGTCACGTAGGCCTAAGCTAGCGCCTTGGAGAGACGCGACGCTGACTGGTCCTCAGTCACGTGAAAGCGATTGGACCTACAGGACATCCCTGCGTGTCCGTCCACAGAAATAGTCACGTGGCCTAGTCACCTGTGCTGCGCTATTGCAGTATAACAAGTAAGTCTCATTCGATCTCAGACAGGGTTTAGATAGGGCAGTGATAAAAAACTAGAGCTAACAGTGAGTTCATTTCAGGGTTTCTGTCAGAACCCACTTGACTGCGAGAGAGATTGACTGCCGTTTGAGACTGCCGTTGATGATTGAGGGTGGCGATTGTCGCCATTGGACCGATCAGTGTAGGCCTGTCACTGTTTAGCGGGGTATCAAAGGATCTCTTGAGGGAATCTAGCCGTCTGGGTGCCCAGCTGACGACGGGACGATCGTTGGGGCATCAGCTCTCCTCTACCTCGGCTCACAATACCACATGTTTCAAGCAGCTTAGTGAAACCCTCTTGCTAACGGGAAGCTAAAGCTTCTCTCAACTGTACAAGGTCTGATTGGCTCACTCCCTTCCGCTTTATGGATGTACCGGGGGGGGGCAAAGTGAAGCTAGCTGAGTGATACAGGGTCGCACACTGGGGCCAAGAGTCAGTGGAGTTTAGAGATACACTTTCCAAGGTGGAGAAAGGCTGATTTGGGCCTTCAACTACGGGTGCCTGTTGGTTGTGCCTTAAACGACTACGGAATGCAGGTGGAATCTGTGTGTGTGTTAGGTTAGGGAGCATGGTTCACGGGAATTGGACTCAGTAACGTCTTTATAATAGTGACAATATTTTTGTGTGTAGTTGATACTATTTTTTCAATTACTAATGTATGCTGTGTGCATTTAAAATTTCTTTATAGTTTCAATCTCAGATATAACCTTTGTTCCCCAGAGTAGTGTTTAAGTTAGGTTAGGAGGCGTGCATCTGTTGGTGTAACATAATTATATTGAGTGCCCTTAAGGCCTATTCATTGTGACTGGGATGAATGAGACACACTGTAAAATTTAGACACGTATATTCCCCCCAACACTACAAACACAATCAAATAATGGTACACCAATATGCCCACCTCTTAACTTGAACTTAAAACACTACTCTGGGGAATAAAAGTTATACATGATATAGAAATTATTAGAAACTCTGGCAACAATAAGTTTGAAGTATTAAAAAATGTTGCTTGCACACATGAAACAGGCCTTAAGGGCTTTCAACAAAATAATATCAGTCACTGAGGAAATGGTATTAAAAATAAGAAATTAAATACTCTACAATGAATAGGCCTTAAGGGCACTCAACAAAATTATATCACCCCAACAGATGCACACTTCCTAACCTAACTTAACCACTACTCTGGGGAACAAGGTTATACCTGAGATCGGAATTATAAAGAAAAATTAATGCATTAAAAGAATTAAATCACAGTATCACTCTGGTTCCACTTAGTGACACAAACATTCAAAAAACAATACTATCAAAATTATTTAAGAAATATTAAACCACACACGTCAAGATAACATCAGTAACTGAGAAATGGTATTAACTACACACAAATATAGTCACTATTATTGATGTGTTACTGGGTCCACCAATACTCGTGAACCATGCTCCACCCAACTCAACATACACCCGTAATAAGGGAGATAAAATGTTCCTCTAGGTATCTCCTAGAGTCCTAGAGTCATGGTCTCAGTGTGTGACCATTAATTTACTCAGATAGCCTCAGTGTACTCCCAGTGCGTCCATAAAGCGGAAGGGAGTGAGCCAATCAGACCTTGTACAGTTGAGAGAAGCTTTAGCTTCCCGTTAGCAAGAGGGTTTCACTAAGCTGCTCGAGACATGTGGTGTTGTGAGCCGAGGTAGAGGAGAGCTGATGACCCCAACGATCGTCCCGTCGTCAGCTGGGCACCCAGACGGCTAGATTCCCTCAAGAGATCCTTTGATACCCCGCTAAACAGTGACAGGCCTACACTGATCGGTCCAATGGCGACAATCGCCACCCTCGATCATCAACGGCAGTCTCAAACGGCAGTCAATCTCTCGCAGTCATCACTCTCGCAGTAGGGTGTGTCATAGGAGGGAAGATCAGCTAAAACTAATGGCCCATCACTTTTTTGGTAGATTTTAGTGTAAATAAACAGAAAATAATTTCAGTTTCAATATTTTGCAACCTTTTGCTAGGTAAATTTTAGCGTGAAATTTATCGAAAATCTAACGTACAGCTGCATTAGTGCATTACAATTAAATAGTGAACATTGCTTTCTGACTTCATTCTTTAA